TGGACTCACCGCTATCCTACCGACGTTGTACTGCTGTTGCACTGCGATTTAGTCCACCACTTGCCTCTCCACTTGACCACTTGCCCACTTGCCTACCTTCTAGAAAGTCTACAGCTAAGCTTCCGGAACTCACTAAGACTCCTACGCTATAGACCTACATATCGAACCCCTGCTGCCTATGGACCTATGACAGGCCTACCAACTGCCTACGAATACACAGGTCACAGGTTCAATTCTAGGGGTCTACACAGATAATGTGCATGGGTAGGGTGAGGTCTAGGGATCGAACCCTGGGTACTGCATCTGCCACTGCTAAAAGGTGAAAAGTGTGTGTGTGTGCTCGAGTGTTAGAGTGATGCGTGTGGGATATCCAGGGTGATCCAATGTATGTGAACAGTGAGATGTTTGGGCGCTGAAGTCGCCATAGCCATTTGAGAGTGAACTCATGTCTGAAAGCCATATCTCTGAGTTTTGAGTGGGCGCATGTCGCCAGTATGTTGCGTTGCTGTTTACATGCATGAAAAGTGTGTTTGAGAACGAGTCTGATTGCATACTTAGTGAAACGGTCCACTATGACGAAGATGTGTCTCTTTCTAGACTTACTGGTCACAAGGGTATCCATGAAGTCCATGGACACACTTTGACCAGGACCTCCAGGAATCGGCAAGGGCTTGATGAGCCTAAGCGGAGCCTGAGTCCTCGGTTTGTCCCTTTGGCAAACCTGGCAGGTTTCAACATATCGTTTTGCATTTTCCATCATAGAGGGCCACCAGAATCTCTGAACTAAGTTTGTTGTTGTCTTCTTATAGCCAAAAAGACCCGTTGCATCGTGACACTCTCCTAAAAATAAACTACGCAAAGACTCGCTATTAGCAACACATAGTCTTTTATTCCCTGCCTTATCAAGGAACAACAACTCGTCTACGATCGTAAATTCGTCCAAAGTTTTTTTATCCTTTGCCTTGAACCTACGAATGATCTCTGACATGATTGGGTCTCCCTGATAGGCTTCCACCAACGATCGAGTGAGGTCATTAGATATGCCAAACTCAGTTACTAGCGCGCCCAGATAATCTGCCCTTCTTGATAGCGCATCAGCCACTTTGTTGTACGTACCCTTGATAGGATCAAGCTGATAGTCATACATGTCTATCACTTGAATCCATCTCTTGAGTGCGTCCGACAAGACTGGTTGTGTCTTGATCCAGCGCAAAGTCTCATGGTCCGACCTCACATAGAAGAATCTTCCTAGGAGGTAGTGTCTCCGATGGACTAGCGCTCTATACAGGGCGTCGAGCTCTCTCTCATAAGTGGACTTGGCCAACTTCTGAGATGGCATCTTCTTGCTCATGTACTCGATCGGCCTCAACTTGGGCCCTTCCTATTGCGCAAGGACCGCGCCTATGCCATATTGGCTAGCGTCGGTGGTCACAAAAAATAGCTTGTCAGGATCAGGAAGTTTGAGAAC